AGAGAGAGATTGTGGACTCGGGTTACCGGGGAGAATCAACCAGATGCGGTTGGTGTTCTGGTCAAATTGGGCGCGGCGCTGAGAAAGCCGATCTTTTGCTGTCTCCCCTTCTTCTTTCTCCCCACCATCCAATTCCAACCTTTTTTTGCTTTTAAGCCGATTGAAGTTGTTCACGATGCTTGCCGCCAGAAACTTCTCTGCTGCTCTCAGTGCTTGCGGTCCGTCCGCATCACTCCCAGCTTCGTGAGCCCCGTGTCGCAGGTATCCACGAGACCCTTCCCCTCAACAATATCAAAAAGAAACACATTGACTAACCATTTTGCGCTTTGAATTAGATCCGCGGTTACGCTGTCTCCGCCGATGATGCTGTCGCCAAGTTAGGGCCGAGAAGGGCTTCGATGTATGTCGATATCCAGTCAACCCCGTTTTTTTCTTTTTTCTTCCTTCACGCCCGGCGCCAGCCGCGCAAAACCTCGTCGCGCACCAATCTGCCCACAACCATCGACCCAGATGAAAAACAAGAACACAGCGAGCGCTTGTGGATGCCAATGATCATTTGGTTTCAGGGCAGTACATACTGCATTCAGGCGATGCAGTTCTCGACATCTCATCGGTGACAGTATTTCGCAGCCAAAGGTACCATTGACAGCACCTCCAACAGCGATTTTGAGGTGCAAATTGGAATAACAAAGATATGTTTTTAATATAGGCCCCCATTAAGTGGGAGCCCGTTGATGTTGGCCCCATCATCAAGGACTGGAAAGACTGCCATCCCGACGAGGCCATCCGCAGTGTGGAGAAGAACTACGTTGCGCTCAAGGGTCCTCTTGCTGTATGTTTTGATCCAGGCCCACCGTTTTTGGTTTATGCATTGCGCCATACTAAACTTTTCTCTTTCTTTTTTTTTTAAGACCCCCGTTGGAAAGGGTCACGTCTCCCTGGAACCTGACTCTGTGCTTAACCTTCACCTGTTTGCCAACGTCCGTCCGGGCCGTTCATTGCCGGTTTCAAGACCCCCTATGACGGTGTCGACACCGTTCCCTATCCGTGAGAACACCGAGGGTGAATACTCCGGTATTGAGCACGTTGTTGTCGATGGTGTTGTCCAGAGCATCAAAGTCATCACCAAGGATGCCTCCGAGCGTGTCCTGCGCTTCGCTTTCAGTACGCCGAGTCCATCAACAAGCGCAAGGTTCGCGTTGTGCACAAGGCCACCATCATGAAGATGTTCTGATGGTCTCTTCCTCAACACTGCCCGTGACATCTCCAAGGACTTCCCTACGTCTCAGTTCGACGCTGAGCTGCTGGACAACTCTTGCTTGAAGATCGTCACTGACCCCACCCCCACAACGACAAGGTCCTGGTCACGCCCAACCTGTACGGTGACATTCTTTCCGACATGTGCGCCGGTCTGATCGTGGTCTTGGTCTCACCCCTCCGGTAACATTGGTGACGAGTGCTCCATCTTCGAAGCCGTCCACGGTTCCGCTCCCGATATTGCTGGCAAGGGTCTTGCCAACCCCACTGCTCTGCTTCTGTCCAGTATCATGATGCTGCAGCACATGGTCTCCACGACGAGGCTGGTCGCATCCAGAAGGCCACCTTCGACACCCTTGCTGAGGGCAAGGTTAGTTTTTACCCTTTCAAATCTCAGCTCCAATTATAACTCGATACTGACCATCGTTTTTTTAATAGTTCCTCACTGGCGATCTTGGTGGTTCCGCCAAGACCCACGAGTACGCCGGTGCCATTATCTCGCGCCTGTAAGTTGTGGCCCTCGCATTTCTGTACTATGACCATTTGATTTTTTTCTATGTGCCCCCCTCGAATGACATTAGACTTCCTATAGCGATCGAAATATACCTACTTGTGTAGTTACGAGATTATTTGCCGCGAATATACAGGAGAGTGTTGTATCCATGTATTTGATTTCTTCTTTATGCTGGCAATTCAAATGTAATGCTCCTGTAGGCCTCGGGTATACCCACATGGGGTACATATATACTTCACATATAACCTTCCCGAGCAATCAACCTGCAGCGAGGATCTCAAGGTAGGCGGGATGTCTTACCCATATATGCTGTGTTGGCTATTTCAAGATGAAGGACCTAGGTCAGAATTTCTTTTGTATGACAATGTTGTGAGGAACTCGAGCATTGTTTTCTATCTCATTCAATGTTTTCAGACATATGGACCAGAGATGTCATGTCATCCTTTCAAAGTGTTCTAGGCCACCTACATAGGTCCTAGAGCCGCCGATCCCTATTGATTGTATGGCCCGATCGAGAAAATGCCGTTATGCGACTGGTCCTGAAACCATGCAAGTCATTCTATTGTTTACATGCAGCTTCTACCAGTAAACTTTACACTACAAGGTACCGAGGCCCGGGTGCCAGGAATCAATCGATTGTAATAGAACTCCGTAGTAACTATCGATCGTACAGGGTGAGGGGTAAATGGAAGACGAAAGATACTCATCGATGAGGAAATAGTAAAATTCCAAAAAAAGACTTCATTACGTAGTAGATTAATGACATTGTGAGGGTTTTGGTTTTTACGCGACGGCATCTACCGAGGTTGTTGCGACTCGCGAGCTTGGAGAAGTGGATCTGTAAAGGGTGTTGGCGCTGTCATTGGCGTTTAGGGAATCCTGTTCAAGTGTCAGCCTCATACCTCACTTGCGGCCGGAAGCCTTGCAAGAGCGAGATTGATGGAAGAGATTGGTGTGGTCAACCAAGGAACTAGATCGGGTTGATTTGGGCAATGACGTCCACGGCGGAGAAATAAGGTTCGGACCAAACGAAAAGTCGCAAAAAGTAGGAACAACTAAACCTGTGATGACGTTACCCCATCAATTCCAAAGAGCATAAATACCTTCAAACAACCACCACAAACTATCCTTCATCAATCACTCTACTCTACTCTTCCACAATCAATCACTTCTACCTTCAACCTTTCAACCTTCAATCTTTCAACCTTCAAAATGGAGACTGTCAAGGTTAGTTATCAACCGTTCCCTCTACTGTGACTACCAGTGGAATCTTTACTGACTTCAAGCTAAATAGTAGCGCCGCCAACTACGTCTCTGAGACCATCCAGGGTGCTGGCTCTACTGCTTCCAAGGAGGCCAACAAGCACGTCGCCAAGGACTCCGATGCCAAGGTCACCACCCGCGCCCAGGCCGCAGTCGATGCTGTCGGTGACAAGGCCGATGAGAAGAGCACGACGTCAAGGCTGATGTCCACAAGGGTAAGCCACTGTTTTATTCAACCACACAGGGAATAACTACTAACCCATTGAACAGAGGCCGCTCAGCACTAAGAATTCACTTTCTGAACCGAACGTCCATGCTCATTAAGCATCTCTCTACTTCGCTTTGGCTATGAGCCTATGACTCTACGACTATTATCTACAATATGTATTAAACAATAACAATTACCAATCTACAATATGTTTAAAAACACTCCTCTCCAATTCATTATGTACCATCACATTTGACATCTATACGTCTTGATGCTTGCAAGCAAAGGAAGCTCCATCCGAGCCCCAATTTGAAGCATAAGCTCGATCTATAAGCATCCGGCCGTTCATCAGCATCTGTAAGACCCTACCAGGCAGGTCAACACCGTAAATTTGCAAATTCAACTTACCAATTCAAGATCAGCCAATGCTGCTTCGGGTTCCTGCTCGGGTACCACCTTCCCAGCCCTAGGCTATTCGTGACGCTTTAACTTCAGGGGGCACGCCCTGGTGCGCTCATTGGCGATGGTGATTGTCTGTATCTCTCCAGACTGGGAAATAGTCACCTGGCTCGATTCTCAATCTTTATCCACCCATTCTCACATGCAACAGTCCACTCACTCGCCCTAACGACTGTACCCCCTAATCTGGATTACGACCAGTCACACCTGATCGTGTCCTCAGGATCATGTCGGCGGTATCTACTGGTGGCAGATGGGGTTGGATTTGATTGGTAAAGGCCGAGAGAGTCGCAATCTCGTTTCCAGGCTGCGCACCGAGCAAGAGTCGTAGTCCCGCGGCATAATGAACACCGCCGTCTAAAAGGTAGCCTCCTTGGTGGGTGGGCGTTCGTCGCCAGGGCTGATGAACTTGGAGATGATTCGGAGATTAGTGGGCTTTGAACAGGCGGGTGGGGATGGTCGTCTACTCCACTATTGAATTTCCAGTTCAGCGCCAGAAGCCCTGCTGATGTCCCTGGAAACCTGTGATTCTACCCATTCCCTTGATTTTCTCAGCGGCGTAGGTGTAGGTGCTTCAGATACCGCCAGTTCTCCGCAACGGCCCAGGTTGGTGTCCCCTGAGCTCGGTGCGATACCACTTGATTAAGGTCGACTGCATCCTGGAGATCTCGGCTATGGGCTTTTCCGAGAGGACATGTTTTCCAGCCAAGAGAGCTGCCTTTATATAGCGGGGCTGACTTTCAATGGACAACCTGTAATGGATGTCTGATTAGCTAGCAACTCTGTTGGGAACTGAAGTCATCGTTCATGGCTAACTTACGCGATGATGACAGCTCCGTGATCCGGGCGCTGTAGAAGCTCATCGAATGCCTCATCGAGATCTTCAGAGTAGAGATCAACTGAGTAGGAAACACCTTCGGCTAGGGGATCTGGCGGATGCTGCGGAAGCGTGAGTAAACAGCTTTGAGGACCAGGGTCTCTTTGATAGCGTCAATGGCAGGCTAGCGTCTTGAAGTTAGTGGTCATCTGATGATTTTGACGAAACAGAAACTATTTGCTCACGGCATGCTCCTCTTTGGCCCAGATCCCGCGTTGCCGAGCGTCAGCGGGCTCTTCGAAATTCAATCAAGTTTGAAAGGGTGGTTCAAATGTTTGGATTGATCCCGAAATATGTTACCCACTTACCTCCCCCAATAAGAGCGACTCCAATCGGTGTTGATTCAGCCATAAATTTTGAATGCTTCTCTAGGCTCTATTGAAACCCCTGTAAGTATGTGTTCAATGAGTCCAGGGACTTTCGGGCATTCGGACAATAAATTGCCTTTACAAAGCCACTTGTCAGACATTTGCCCCGCAAACAAGAGCTTCTTTGGCTGCGGTGTAAATGCCGAAACTTTCCAAATTTGGAAGCTTCCAAGGTTGCTTCAAGGCCCTCTCGGATCGTGGACCTTTACCTAGTCGGTTCCTCCGGTTCGGTGTGTACCAAGTCAATGTAAAGGGATCTGGTGTGACGTTGAGCACTAGGGGAGTTCATGGTCACAGACACTTGCGCTTGGAGACCTCGGGACAGGGCCTCAAAACAAATAACATTGGCTGGGCGAGTAGGTATTAAAGTAGATGATCAGCCTGCTTCTTCAATGTTGGTAGTTTCTGTCGATGGCATATGCGTCTAGGTGAAGCAGTCCATTGGCTGGGCACTCTGCCAGCCCGTTCAAACGTGAAAATTGCGGTATGAAATGACTAAAAAATACAATAGAAATACAAACTTTAGAAGGTTCATGATTAAAAGTCTCCACTATGCCCTGCCTCAAACGCCATTAATGATCCAGGTGATGGGATAGGTAAACAAGTCGCAATCTTCAATCGAAAATGAACTGCGGGGCTCAGCGACGACTACCAGTCCTCCGAGTCCCGTATTTGTGGAAGGCTTTGCATCCTTTTGCCTAGTTCGAAAGGTTTGCGCCCTTGTACTTCTTGAGCCTTTCTCATCGTCGGGCCTGTCTTCTTAATCTCCACTTTCCTTTTCATCGCTGCCCTCTTCTCCCTCTTCTTCATCTTCTTCATTTCCCCCAGTGTCTTCCTCGTCGGGACGATATCTTCATCGGAAGTTTTCTGACTGCCGTTATTGATTTCCACATGGAGTCTCGTCGATCGAGTTTCCCGAGCGGTTTGGCGAGTGCCACGGGTGGACTTGCGCCTCGAGATGGGGCGGGAGAGGAGCGCGGTTCTACAGAGAACAATTGCAATTAGTCGTGAGACCACACATGGCGGATAAGCTGTTTATAAATACCATCGGTATCTGCCACTGTGCTCCCTCGTCGAGATTCTTGCATGGCGACTCATGACTGGAGATAAGGAGCCTTCTGTAGCCAGTCGCCTCGAACATAAGGTCGCCGTATTCGTCTAGGGAAGCTCAAACGGGCAATATCGCTCAATTATTCCCTCTTCGTCTTCATTGGAGTCCACAATCGCCGAATCCTCCAATGCGAGTCTGATTAACAAGGGAAGTTTCACCAGGCTCAGACACATAACGTTGCTTACCCGTTCATTGAGAGCTTCCAGGTTGTAAAGATATCCCAACTTCTTCCATATCCCTGGGAATAGTCAAGTGCTCTCCATTGGCAGGTCCATATCCTTGGTTTTTGAGGAACTCTCATATGGCAACCATTCGAAAATGTTTGTGCACGCCTAGAGGAATGCGATCAAACGACTAGCTCCATTGTCCTCGCATTGCGCGCCACGTCGTGTATAATACCCACCAACAGGTTTCCATTTTATAATTGCTTTCAAAAGTGCAGTCTCCTGCTCATCAGTCCATGGATCAGTGAGTAGGTCAAAGTTCGCCTCAGACTTCTCGACGCTGTCGGTGGAACCGGGAGTGTCTGCGCTCGATTGCGCTGTCCAGCTTGCGGGGTGGTGGAATGGGCGCGCTTGGCCTTCTTGCGTGGAGGCATTGCGGATTTCGGTAGCTCCAGAAATTCAAAAACAAAACAAAAGAGGAGAGACGAGGAAGTTCTTAGAGGGAACGAGTGCGAAGTCGAATACATGGACATCGAAGGTTTCGTTATCGCCATGGTCCGTGCACGATAACCCAGTTGCGCGGGGCGGACTTAATCAATCGTGCCTCAACGCGTCGGAATCACTGCACATCTGTGTTTACGCCCAATGGGGATGAAAAATGTTCAGTGAACAGGAACACGATCCATTCTCCAGTGCGAGTCTATGGAGACTGTCGAGATTTACAGCAGAGGCTCTACAACCTTTGGACGAATTACCGTGGAACACGGGCTTGCCTGGTACGTCACGCCCAAACACCAAATGTTATGCTTAAGTGGTAGAAATGAACTATTGTTCCACGTATAGATTTTTCAGAATCAAGCTTTGCAGCCCTCTCCCTTCAATCGACAAGATCGACTCTATATGGAAATTGGACTTCTCAAATGACATTGAACCCCCGCAATCTGACACCGACTCGAGCCTCGATGCTTCCATATACACCTAATCCGACACATCAACAGATGGTGTACAAAATACGGACGAAAAAACGACATATGGGCATTACATGCGCTCCAAGTCGAGCCGGGATTTACAGCCCCTCTCAAGTCATGGGAGAAATTCCAGGCCCAGTCATTGAAAGAACCGTATCGGCCTATTTCAGCGAGTCGGGGACGGAGGGCTTCCTTATGCGGCACTGGCAGACCAACTTCATCAAAGGACAGGAAAATCCCGCCTACCGGCTTCGAGAAGATTTTTTTGTACAATCTCGGCCACGTCTAGGTCTCGGTTGGAATTCCCCGCTTTTTCGCTACAATCATCGAACCAAACAATTCGACAAATACCTGTCAGATGTCCGTGTATCTGGAGTAAGCCAGCCAGTCACTGACTCTATCATTGCAGACGTGCTGCGATGTGGTACAAACATGCAATATGCTCGGACCTTTGCAGGAAATCTACATACCAAGTTGAAGGACCTGGCGTCCGTCTTTGCCTTGCGTGATGCCATTGCTGTTAGCCTATACCATCTGGAGCGCCAAATCATCGGCCATTCAGATAACGTTGCTCCCCTCTTACAAGCGACCATATTGTTCAATCGCTGCGGAGACCTGATCGAGGCCTTGGCAGATATTGTAAGGGCAGTCGAAAAGGCCAACTCAGATGCCCAGGTCATTTCTATCACAATGGATCATGCAGCGTTCTTTGCCCAGAAGTATGGCTGGATGGAAAATTAGTGTGCAAGAAATTGTTGTTCGGGTGACTGAACCTTGGCTAGCATTCATTGAAGGCTGGATTGGGCTTCGACCCGAGGAATCATCACTGAAACGAACTATAATTAACGGCAAAACGTTCCTTGAAGTCGAGCGACACGATGATCCGACCAAGTTCAAGACTGGTCGCTCAAGGGTTGAATACTCGTATCGTCAAGAACATATGCCGTCATTTATACCTGTTGATCAGGCGCAGCTGATTTTCGAGAGCGGCAGAAGTCTGCGATTGCTTAAAAAGTCACACCCGCATCACCCTATTGCTCGGCATGACGTTCTTGCACGGTCCGGTCATCTTCATTTGCACTGTGCGATGACCTGGACAGAGATTGAACAAATTCAAAAAAGGCGCAAGATTATGAAGCGAAGCTTCGCGCCGAGATATTGAGATACCATAGGGGAGAATTGACAGAGACAACATTCTTCGAGCCCTCTGCCCAGGACCTTGAGATTAACAATGATGAAATCGTGGGAAACACTTTTGAAATCTTTGACATTGACGACAAGAAGCATGTATCGGACGTTGCGATGAATCAAACAACGCTATCGAACGACAGGGTCAGTGACATGCTCCAGAAAGCCAGGGGCGAGCTTGGTTTCAGTGATGCAGGAACACGTTTTGGGCCTGAGTTGGCATCTGAGTCTATCTATCATTTGCTCCAGTAATCGCAAATCAAGCACAACTCATTGACTTCTCATGTCTACATCATATGTTCAAAGAACATAAGGTGCGACATCATTTGAACCTGCAGTGGCGTTTTCAGCTGCTAGGAGATGGTTCGTTTACATCATGCCTCTCAAATTCGCTCTTTGACCCCGAGATGGATAGTGGAGAGCGCAAGGCTGGCAAAGTATGCGGTGGTGTTCATACCGGCTTGCGGTAGGAAGTCGTCATACCTGGCCACCTGCAAGTTCCGAGCTACGCCTCGTACTTATCGGCATACTTGGGGATTGTTACTTTTCCGAAACAGATCCTGGATAGCCAGCGGGATAACGAGCTCCCTGCTGGACTGAACTTTGAATTCGCGAATTATTGGCGACGAGATTCACCACGTAGAGACCCGAACACGATAGAAGCGCTCGACTTTCTTCGACTCCAATACAAAGCACGGAGACCCTGGAGACGCTTATCACGCCGCGGTCGTTGGGAAAATACGATCGTCTCTTCAAGCACTTGCTCCGCCTACTTCGCATGGTATCTGTTGTTAAAGGGCTATTCCGCGCCTCTACCTTTCGTGACGCAAGAAACATACTCCAAAAATTCAGGTTCGACGCTCAGCACTTCGTCCTCGCTGTCAGCGACTATTTTTTCCACGTCGGGATAGGGTCAATTGGAGTCGCTTCCAAAGCACGCTTGATAAGATCGAGCGTTGCCTTGATCGCGGCGATATAGATGGCACCCTCGAGGCGGCCCATTCCGTGCCCCGTCTCCGCGATTTACACGAAGACATTCTTGACCAAATGTTGTTTGCCTTCTTCCTGAGTAAACGACATGCAGCAGCCGCCAAGTTGCTCGAAGATATTTTCAGTACAATCCTGGCCTTTGTTCTATTTTCCCGGGCTGGGGGAAATGAAGGCACTGTCCATCATTTGCATTCTACTTTCCGGAAACAGGTGTCTGCCTTGGTTGCATACTTGCGTGCCTTGGACACAGGGAAGGGCGCATCTAAATCTATGGCGAAGTCGGCAGGCTTTTTCGGTTCCCGTAACGAGCCAACTAGTGTATTTGAACATCTCCGAGTGCGGTTGGAGGTGAAAGATTATTATTGATACGGCTGAAGATGGCTTGAAATAAATTTCTTGCTCCTCCAGGCGATGCTTCAAAAATCCTTTAATTTATTGGGCATACAAGCGAAGTACCTAAAGCTTGTATAGAGATAACGAGACAATCAAAGTAATGTCCGAAAATGACATATCAGAAGAAATGGAGATCTGACTCTGCCCAGCCTTGATCTAGGAGAATCTTGCGAGCAGACTTCTCCATCGCCTCTGGCCCACAAATGATGGCCATACTATCCTCTCCAGGCGCCGCGTACTCTTTGATCAACTCTTCAGAGATACGCCCCCCGGCGACCGACCCATTTGTCTGACGCCTTCGACAAAGTATGCACGACGGTGCATTTGCGGCTGTCAACAGCCACATACGCATCAAGCTCAGCTCGACAAAGGATATCTTCTTCTAATCTGTTGCCATCGAGGACAACACACGTAGTAGGATCCTGATGATCCAGCATGACGGCACGCAGAACCTGGAAAATGGGAGTGAGACCAGTCCCACCGCAGATCATCTTGAATGAGCGGACCTTGCGCTCTTTACCGCTGATCGTGACCCGGCCGTTTCCAAGATACTCGAACCGACCTGTGGGTCCTTTGCAGTCTATCTCGGCTCCTACGACCAACGCATCGAGTGCCATGGTCATCTTGCCGCCGGGGATATTTCCAGTCGGGAAATAGATTTTGACTAACAATTCCATCTTTCCTTTCACGTTTGTGTCGGAGATGGGGGTGTAGGATCGAATGATTGCTTCCTTGTTGGTTGGGTCTGGGACTTTGATCATCAAGTGTTGGCCTATTGGTAGGCCTAGGGATTGTCCGTCGTGCTCTAGGTCAAAGACGAAAATTTTGGTGTCCCATGATACGTTCTTTACCTCAGAAAGCTTCATTTTTGCCCATGAGCGTGACTGGAGGAAGATTGAGCGTGGTTCAGCTGAAACTGCCGTCGAGTCGCTGTTGAGAGATTCGAGGGAGGCTTTATCCAGCGTTCCAATATGATATTCGGGCATCATTAACTTGGCCGTTTCGCTGTCTAATATGGGAGTTAGCAAGGCCAGCTTTTGCAAATAATATCTTCGGCTCCAAGCTGTACTCACGGATAGCAAGGAAGTCCTCTGAAACATCCAACCCGGCCGAGAAGTGATACTGATTGCTCCACCCGGATGGCCCTCGAGAAACCCTGTCCCATCATATACCTCCCCACTCACAACGAACCAAGGCTTTTCAGCACTGCTATTTGCCTTGAGCTCTTGTAAATCAATAACACGACTCAATCCCTCTTTCTTCATATTGATTTCTTTCACGGGCTCCGGCTCAACGGGGAACTTCTCCCTCGATTTTCTCGCCCAATTTCCATTTGTCAAATCACCACCTGCTTTCTTGGCCTTTTCCATCCAACCTCCAGCCCTTGCAGGATGAGTTGGGTGCTCAAACTTGAGGCGTTTGCCTTCTTTTGTGATTGTGACTCGGAACCAGGGGTTGTTCATCATACCCAGGACGGACCAGTACATGTCTCGGGGTTGCACCATCATTCCATCGTCCATGGCCCTGACAAGCAGCGCATCGCTGCTCTCCAGGTCGGAGACCGGTATTTCAAGAGACCAAAATGACCAGCAGAAACAACTTTCCCGTTTCCACATGTCCACCTTTCCACCAAAAAGATCGCCTTCGAAATCTCTGTACTTGTCTTCGGCGTACTCAATGTTGGCAAGTCGCCATGCTAGAAAAAAGCAACCAAGTTAGCATCGAAGAACTCGATAAGGAAAACCAACCAAAATTATTCCACTGAGCCTACATTTGCCTTTGTCAAGAGAGATGTCAACTCTTGTTATTCTTCGACCACCTCCCGCGTAGGCGTACCCTTTCGCCGTATATGTCGACCCGGCAGTTGTCAAGTCCAGTACTTCCTCATGCTCGGGGAAGGCCGCCACGGAGTTGACATTGAGATCATAAATGGCATACCGCTCATCAGTCCACCATTTGGTGTCCTGGGCCGCCATCTCCGGCGAAACCATTGTCCTAATTTCTGTCAGGACTTCTGAATGGTATCCAAACGCTCGTGGACAAAAATAATTACTTACGGTAACACCCGGTTATCGTAGATGTGATACCAATTTTCACTGGGCGCCTCAGTCACAATGAGCTTCTTAAGCCACTTGACACTCCGCCCACCAATCTGTCCAGGCACCACTGCTCTTAAAGGTCTACCATGATCTGGGCGCAAGTCCTCGCCATTCATCTTATGAGCCAACATGATCCCTCTGTTGAAGTCCATAGCCAAGTTTAATTTGACGGATGTGCCATAATACCCATTTGGCTGCAGAGGCAAGTTAGTGATTCGGCCTTTGGTTACTTCCTAGCGCTTGATGTTCTTGGAAAAAATCGGCTTGAGACCTACTAGCTTATCGGCTCCTTCCATGCACACGTACTTGGCTTTTTCGGAGCGGCTTTGCACTGCGTAGGATATCGGCCATCATGGGGCCGGTCCATAGTGCCGTTGAAAGTCCAGCCGGGCCCCATGAGAACCCTTTGGACTTTCGGACTGTATTTTGTTCTTTTCGTCTGTTTCCGGCACAGACGAGTGTGATTGGTGTGGTGATTTGATCGTATTTTTGAAGGATATCTCGAAAGCTTAGCGTTATTGGGGTTTCCACTAGGCTAAACTATCTGTTAGCTGCTTCCAAGCTTCTAATCTTCAATTGTTTTCATATTTTCATTTTTCTTCCAGATGTCTGCTTCGATCATAACCTTGGAAGTATATGGGACCTTACCCTTCTATGCTCAGTTCCCAGTTGGGTATATCTTCATCTCGGACTTGCGGTACAGGGCCATGATTTCGAACGTAGAATAGTTCCGGTGATGTGAGGAAGCCTGAATAACTTGGCATTAGTCATATATGCTCAATGATCTACCCGTGGACGGCACGTACCTTCTTTGTATAACGCGCTAAGTGGTGGCTCAACGTTGAATGGATGAATACCAGTTAATCGGATAAGTCGTGGATCACGGGGAACATGGCTATCGGGCGTGCCTTTATCCACTTCTAGAATCTCGGTCGGGTTGACTGATGGAGGAGGGAGAGGGATGTCATACTCCTTGGGAGTCGGTAGATCATGAAACCGGGCCCCCTTCGTCGTGAATGAATCGTCCTTTTTGACGAGTGTCTCTGTAAATGTCGCCATTGTAAGAGCGAGACCGGTCAATCTTTGAAGACGTTGACGATATAATTTTTTCTTGCTAAATCCCACTGCCCCGTTCTGCTTATCTAATAGATTTGTATAGAAAAAAGTGGGCTTTGAGATGAGAAAAAGAAATTAAACATGCATTGTTTCTTTTTTCCCCAGTAATATGATACTCTGGAGTAATAGCTGGGGAAGATAACTGTCTATGTAACGTTTCTTCATGTCCGTCATAGATACTCTCTATCTCCGCGGATTTCCCAAGGTTTCCGGTCAGGAAGTGGCGAGGTGATCGTCTTATTTCTTAGTCAGAGAGACAACACATCAGAGAATAAGTGGAATCAGTGGAATAGATCCTAGAAAATAATAAAGTAAAAAGAATAAAACATTTCACCCGATTCATCTTATCAAAGGGTTCAACGGTGGCCAATCATGTCGTGGCTATAATCGATTATCGTATCTCCGCGGAGTCCAATGCTTATCATGTCTGGACTCTGGGATGTGACTTTGTACTACATGTTGAATTCACTGCTTTTTTTTGTTTCTCTTTTAAAACTTAGCCATGGCCGTAATTTATGTATTTAAAATTTCAAACTTATCTCAATTCCATCTTGCACCACAAGTATGCCGGTGCTGGATGGGCTTCGATATGGCGAGCCAGTTGATGGCAGCCCGAGCTTGAATGATCGCCCGAGACAGAAGATCGTAATCGTTGGATTGGGAATGGTGGCTATTTCCTTGATGTATGAGAAAGATTGATTTTGAAAATGAACCGACAATCTAGAAACTAACATCATCAGTGAAAAAATCATTAAACAAGACACAGACCAACGCTATGATATCCTCGTTATCGGAGAGGAGGCCCATGTCGCCTATAATCGTGTTGGTTTGTCCTCGTTTTTCGAACATCGCAAGATTGAAGATTTGTACTTGAACCCCAAGGAATGGGTACGTCTCCTCTCCCATGGATAGTGCATTAAGTCAAGAATGTCTGGGTCTAACAATTTATTATAGTACGACTCCATCAAAGAGCGGACCTTTGACCATCACATCAATACCACAGTGACCTCAATAAGCCCAAGCAACAAAACTGTCCAGACGTCCACCGGTGAAACAATCACCTACGACATCCTTGTCCTCGCAACCGGCTCCGATGCAGTTCTCCCCACCCGTACTCCAGGCCACGATGCCAAGGGTGTCTTTGTCTACCGCACTATCTCCGATCTGGAACGGCTGATTGACTTTGCATCTCAACATAAAGGCGAGACAGCAGTAACCGTCGGAGGCGGACTGTTGGGTCTCGAAGCCGCCAAGGCGATGACCGATCTGCAAGATTTTGGCAACGTGAAATTGATCGACCGAAACAAATGGGTATTGGCTCGTCAGTTGGATGGTGATGCCGGGTCATTGGTCTCTCGTAAGATCCAGGAGCTGGGACTTGATGTGCTGCACCAGAAACGGGTCTCAGTCGTCAATACCGACTCTGACAATAATGTTACCGGAATCACATTTGAAGATGGTGAACACATTGATTGTTGCTGTATTTGCTTTGCGGTAAGTCAAGTCCCCTTAATTCTTTATCCTTTGTTTTTTCCATGGAAAGATGCTTATCATATATGGATGGTACAGATTGGCGTCAAGCCCAGGGACGAGCTAGGAGCGTCAGCTGGTATTCTGTCCGCGTCACGAGGAGGGTTTGTTATCAATGAGAGGTTTGTTTGTCATCCCCGCAAAAGCTGGATCTCTATCTAATTTATCTAGCCTCGGAACTTCAGTACCAGATATTTATGCCGTGGGAGAATGCGCCAGCTGGGAGAATCAGACCTTTGGAATCATCGCGCCTGGAATTGAGATGGCCGACGTACTAGCCTATAATCTCACTAATGTGGACAAGAAGCCTAAGAGCTTTACACGACCGGACTTGAGCACCAAGCTCAAGCTCCTAGGAGTCGATGTTGCCTCATTTGGCGATTTCTTCGCCGACAGAGATGGACCCAAGTTCCTCCCGGGTGATCGACCTCTCATTGGCAGCAATGCTGGTGATATACCTCCCGTCAAAGCCTTGACATATAAGGATCCATTTGGTGGAGTCTATAAAAAGTATCTGTTTACCATGGACGGTAAATACTTGCTTGGTGGCATGATGATCGGGGATACCCGGGATTATCTCAAGTTGAATCAGATGGTTAAAGCGCAAAAAGAGTTGGAAGTTGCTCCCAGCCAGTTCATTCTTGGAGCGCAGAATGAAGGCGAGGAAAATGCAGATGACCTGTTTGTACACCCGTGTCGGTACTTCTACAATATTCGTACTGACAGACTTCACAGTGACGATAGTACTCAGATTTGCGCCTGTCACAATGTGACCAAGGGCGACGTGGTCGAGAATATCAAGAGTGGAACTTGTACGACAATCGGTGAAGTGAAGTCTTGCACAAAAGCAGGAACCGGATGTGGCGGGTGCATGCCCTTGGTGCAATCCATATTCAACAAAACTATGCTTGAGATGGGACAGGAGGTGTCCAATCACCGTGAGTACAAAAAGATTCCGAATCGCAGAGAACATGCTAACTAACAAAAATATAGTCTGCTCGCATATTCCCTACTCTCGTGCTGATCTTTACAACGTGATTGCGGTCAAGCAACTCAAGACATTTGTGGAGGTTATGCAAACGGCAGGAAACAAGCCTGATTCCCTCGGCTGTGAGACCTGCAAGCCTGCCATCGGATCTATTTTGTCGAGTTTATTCAACCCACACGTAATGGATAAAGGTTATAACGAATTACAAGACACCAACGACAAGTTTCTGGCCAATATACAGAGAAACGGAACTTTTTCTGTGGTGCCTCGGGTACCCGGTGGAGAAATTACAGCTGAAAAGCTCATTGCTATCGGCACAGTTGCCAAGAAATACGGGCTCTACTGCAAGATTACAGGTGCACAACGTATTGACATGTTCGGTGCCAAGAAGCAGGATCTATTGCCTATTTGGACTGAGCTGGTTGACGCTGGGATGGAGAGTGGCCATGCCTATGCGAAGGCGCTGCGAGCTATCAAGGTCAGTTATTCACAATCACACATTCTGTAACACAATGTTAACCTTCTTAATTGCAGAGCTGTGTGGGCTCTACATGGTGCCGGTTCGGTATTGGTGACAGTGTCGGCCTCGCAATCCGATTAGAAGAGCGCTACAAGAGTGTTCGTGCTCCGCATAAATTCAAGGGAGCAGTATCCGGCTGTGTACGTGAATGTGCGGAGGCACAAAACAAGGAGTACGTTTTAATTGCCCAGTTTTCGTACCTTGGAGTCCAAAGCTGATGACAAATTTCTATTAGTTTTGGCCTCATCGCCACAGACAAAGGCTTCAACATTTTCGTTGGAGGCAATGGTGGTGCAAACCCCCGCCATTCCGAGCTACTAGTCAAAGACGTCCCATCAGAGATGGTCATGCCCATCGTGGACCGATACCTGATTTTCTACATCCGCACCGCCGACAAGCTCCAAAGAACAGCCCGGTGGATCGAAAACCTCCCCGGCGGCATCGACTACCTACGAGAAGTGATCATCGACGACAAGCTCGGCATCTGCGCCGACATGGAGCGTCAAATGCAGGAGCTTGTCGACAGCTATTTCTGCGAATGGACCGAGACAGTGCGCGACCCCAAGCGACGCAAGAAGTTCCAGCAATTCGCAAACACAGACGAGACCGTTGACACGGTGGAAGTCATCCAAGAGCGCTCACAACAGCGTCCTACATACTGGCCCAAAGAGTCCGTCACCGAGGATTTCAGGAATCATCAGTGGTCGGGTCTCTCGTGGCAACCTGTTGTCAAAGCCGATCACTTTTCCGACGAGCCGCCCCAGGTTTCTTCTGCAAATGTCAAGCGTGGAGATACGCAGCTGGCCGTTTTTAAAATCAAGGGGAAGTTCTACGCGACGCAGCAGATGTGTCCGCACAAGCGCGCGTTCGTGCTGTCGGATGGCCTGGTCGGTGATGATGATGCGGGGAAGTACTGGGTTTCATGCCCGTATCATAAACGCAATTTCGATTTGAATGGTGAGCAGGCAGGCCGGTGCTCGAGTGATGAGAGTATGAACATTGCTACTTTCCCCGTGGAAGAGAGAGATGACGGATGGATCTATATTAAATTACCGCCGGTTGAGGAGTTGGATTCGGTTCTTGGGACGGAGAAATGGAAGGTCAGGAAGGGAGAAGCGCCTGATCCATTCCAGAAGATGGATAAAAATTATAAGGGGATGAGAGGGAAGAAGGTGGCCCATGGCGATGTAAGCCGGCCAACGGTCAAGCCAGCTCAAGGGATCGACTGGTGATTTTTTTGCATGAGGAGCTCGGACATTTCAAGCGCTGGTGTTATGGTGAAGATTCCAATGTTACCTGTTAGTCTTTTTACCCATTGGCGCAGAATGTACAATGCATTACTTGTTATCCATATAAACCATCATGTAGAATATTCGAAGATATTCTATCTCTAAACAAGTACATGTATGTATGACTCAAGCGCTATTCTGAGTGCGACCTATCAAGTCCAACAATTTACGCCACAAACGGTGCCTCGACTCGGACAATAATGTGTAGCCTGTAGGTACATGCAAAGCGGGCGTTGGTTCAGAAAGCAATGTACAGGTAAATTGAACTCCGAACTCCGTCATGACGACCAAGGCTTCATTTTCATTTTCATTCTCATTCATCTGAGTGTACTCCATGTTCTTTCTGCGCGTAATATTTACAACGAGAAAATCAACAGCGACACTCGTTACAACAAACTTAATGTAAGAGCTTGCGCTGTCGGGAGGTAACACGCAAAGCTAATTTTTTCTATCTTTCCAGATCCACCATGTCCCGCCAGCCAACGCCTACAGACCTCAGACACCACCTCTCAAAGCTAGTCACTTTGAAAAACGCCCAAGCCGCTATGCCCGCCGCAATGCGGAACCTGCCTGTGATGGCCATAGTAGCAGGTGGGATTATCGCGAAAGTGACGAATGGCGACAATGTCATTGAACGCCATTTGCTAGGCAAGCCATCTGTCGAAAAGGAGTTTATCGCCTTGCCCGAACCTACTACAAAAGATTCATGGGGCCAGCCGGCTACTGGGCTAGGGGGAGAACACGGCCAGGTGGCAAGCAACTCCTCTCATAAAAAGTAACCACTCTATTGTCCAGTCTTGGAAGGAATACTGGTCACAGCCCTAGGCAAATCTCCATTCTGGTACTGCAATTCATATACCACAGATGTACTATATCATGATTTATGCACAGACCTTCATGCCTACTAGTAGTAGTCTGTTTATTCTGGATCCAAGTGAGACACGACCATGTCGCAGAATCCGCGGAGATGAGCAGGGCCAGCTAGAAAGTCAAGAAGATCTAGATTGACATCTTGAACTCGTATATCCGAACTGACCGAGGGGGATTATGGGCAGTGTTCAAAGTTATGACCCGGAAGCAAATTCTAAAGGAAAATGCAATCGAGATCTGCTCTTAAAGTATTTCCGCGGAGCTCAGACCGATCCTCCAAGACCCACCAATGATTCACTGCCGGGTTCCTATCGTGACGTCCAATGAGAAGCGATACATTTATCAATGACCCTGGATGCGGGAGTTCCCAGAGTGGAACGAACCTTGGCATTTGCAGCCCCAGATTATGATTATACGGGGCATAGTTAGGGATTTCTTGATGACAATGGGTCCCGCGGAGTTGCTTCTTCCTATCATTGATTCAATTGTTCAATGCTTATTGTACAGTCCACTTTTCATGCCTTATCGGCACCTCTTTTTTCTTATCGCGTACATTCTTGGTACATGAACCTTACTTGAAGTTACGGGAAATATGGGCCACGACAAGCAATGTGTTTTCTTTTCTTTTTTTTTTAACCAATTCACTAGTAAGTCTAGTATGGTCTAAGATGCCTTTGATACGGGGGATATCACTGATACGGTACATTTACAGTTCAAAAATACCAAGAAAAGAAATTTCCGTCAAATGAGATTCCTGTGATAACCCCCTGTGCTGGTGCTTTTGCTTGACTAATCTGCTATTTCACCCGATAACTATCCACTTGAGCTCCGATTATATTACGCGCCTGTCGATGCAGCACCGTCGCATTCACTTTGCTCCAAGGTTCTCTCCAAGATTGTCCATCTACCACATATATAGCAAATAGATGTCCTCTTCTGTACAAGTGCCGACCTTGGCTGAAGACATCAAGACACCAAGACCTAAACAAATTACATCTACTACTTTCCCAAAATTCCCATGATAGAAGTCGATTATTTACAAGGGAGCACCTAAGCACAACTCGATTGGGCCCCACAGATACCAAATCCATTTATCTCACGGTGTCGCCTACCCTATTCAAGACTCTCATTTCCAAGCAACCAGCCTATCACTCTAGTCGGCTATCGATATAATACTACTTGCCCGCAATGGCCACTACATTCTTCAAACTCCTCGTTTCTTCGCCCGAAATCGATTCTTCTACCCGCAAAGCCAAGTCCATCCCGGTGCTCAACCCATTCAACCAATATGGACGAGTATTCTTTTTCTCATGGCTGGGCTTCATGGTCGCATTCCTGTCCTGGTATGCCTTTCCGCCATTGGTAAGTCATGAAAATGCATCCAAATCTCCCAAATACGGCGAATCCAACGAACCAAAGCTAACATTTCTCCTCGCCAATCTTTAGTTGACCGTGACAATCAAAAAAGACCTGCATATGACCCAGACACAGGTGTCAAACTCAAACATTGTTGCACTGCTCGCAACGTGAGATTCCCAAAATCCAACCCCCCAGGTGCCCCCACCTGGGCATAAGAGTTTTCATCTTGCTAACAGAACCCACAGACTTCTTGTGCGGGTAATTGCTGGTCCACTTTGCGACCGATTTGGTCCACGCTTAGTTTTCGTCGGACTATTACTGGCTGGAGCCATTCCAACAGCTATGGCTGGCCTGGTTACCACTCCGAACGGTCTAATTGCTTTGCGGTTCTTTGTCGGCATCCTCGGCGGCACATTCGTTCCTTGCCAGGTATGGTGTACGGGATTCTTCGATAAGACCATTGTCGGAACGGCCAATTCTCTAGCTGGAGGGTGGGGCAATGCCGGTGGAGGAATTTCCTAGTAAGTGTCCTATGTTTTGAAGCAGGTAGACATTGATAACATACTTGCGTCCGTACCTACCAGTGCATATTGAAGTGTCTAACAAAAATCCCTCTAGTTTCCTCATGCCAGCCATCTACGACTCCCTGGTCACCTCCCAAGGTCTCACGGCCCACAAAGCCTGGCGCATCGCCTACATCGTCCCTTTTATAATCATCACAGCCGTCGCTCTGGGTATGCTATTCCTGTGCGAAGATACCCCAACCGGCAAATGGTCAGAACGCCACCTCTGGGCTAAGGAAATGGGCTCAAACATCCACGTCACAAATGGGGAGCCCCTTGACCTAAGCTCCGGAAGTCCCTCAGCCAATCCCTCTGGTCCCCCCTCAATCTATAACAGCAAAATAACCGCCGACGTGGAAAAGAAAGGCGGCGCAGAATCCCCGTCGCAAATATCCGACAAAGAAGCTCCAGCAAGGGGACAAATGTCCACTCTCAGTAGTGACATCATTATCGCGCCCTCGCGCAGAGAAGCTCTGAGCGTCGCGTTCAGTCCCTCGACGATGGCCGTCGCCGTCCCGTACGCATGCTCATTCGGCGCCGAGTTAGCTCTAGACGGATTCCTGGGTACGTACTACGCTGCGAATTTCCCGAAAATGGGACAGACGGAGTCGGGCCGGTGGGCGGCTATGTTTGGGCTGTTGAATATCGTCTTTCGTCCCGCGGGCGGTTATATGGCGGATATGGTATTCCGAGCTACGGGAAGCATTTGGTCGAAGAAGCTTCTGTTGACGTTTTTGGGTGTCATTATGGGGGCTTTCTTGTTGGCTATTGGGTTGACGGACCCGACTCATGAGGCTACTATGTTTGGTCTTGTTGCTGGTATGGCTTTCTTTTTGGAGGCGGCTAATGGGGCGAACTTTGGTCTTGTTCCTCATGTGCATCCTTATGCTAACGGTAAGTTTATTCTCTTCCTTCGCCTCCTCTCTTTTTTGATGGGTTGGTACTAATATGTCTGGATTCAGGAATCGTATCCGGCCTCGTTGGCGGGTTTGGAAACCTTGGTGGAATTATATTCGCGATTATATTCAGATACAATGAATCGCACTATGGTCGGTCCATCTGGATTATGGGCGTGATCTCGTTGGTGGGAAATGTGGCGGTTAGCTGGATTCGTCCGATTCCCAAGACTGCAGTGATTCAATAACGATATTAGTTGATGATGGTTATTTTTAATGAATCAATTTGAAGTTCGATCGAGCTATGTCATTGTTCAACGTGAATTTAGACTTTTAGTCTCGGCATCGCCAAGCAACCGGCATCGGCACGGGTAACGGGCTTCGGGTTAGTGCCCCCCGAACGTGGGTTAACGATGCGGCGAAGGCGGGGCATGTCAACGAGATTGGAACGCCTCCTTTTCTTAATCCTTACCTATCTTCTTGAACTTTGCCTTTAACCTTTGCTATCAAACCATCAATATGGCTCCAATTCGCCGTATTGCCCAGATTGTTCACCTCAAGCCTTCGGCCGTGGCAGCGTATAAAGAATGCCACGCGAACGTCTGGCCGGAGGTTCTGCAGCAGATCAAGGACTGCAATATCCAGGACTGTGGGTTTTGTCCTCCGCCCAAATATGAATTTCGATTGCTGATTAGCTCAATTGTTTGGCTTCAGATTCAATCTTTTTTGATAATGACCGCACCCTCTTTGCGACTTTCAAGTACGTCGGAACTGACTATGAGGGCGATATGGAGCTCATGCGAGCCAACCCGAAGGTGCGGGAGTGGTGGGCTATGACAGATGGAATGCAGGTAGGATCAAATCCCAAGGTACCGTGTCATATTATCCTGGGTTTAAAGACTAATACACTTGGCCTTTTCCCCAGGAGAGCCCCATTCCTGGTGCCGTTGGTAGTGCCGATGGGCCAGGATGGTGGAAGGTATTGGACGAAGTCTTCTATAACGAGTAAACTTGGCCATCCAATCATGTATATAACTTATTATGAAATATAGTATCAAGCTGATATGGATATCCGATGTTTAACGCTTGAAAAATTGGTCGATTCTCTTCTGGCGGGAATCATGTACGGCACTGCCAATTCCTCCACGAGTCCGGTGTAGACCCGCGAGATGCTCTTTACTATCAACCGCCATGATTTTCATAGCCCAGCCATTCAGGAGCGTATCAGTGCCCCGATCAGAATTACTCTGTTCTTTTGGGGCCGGGATTGGCTGAATTGATAATGTCATGAATCCTGTATTCGACCAACTGGGTGAGAAGAGAGCCGCTGGGCCATTGTCTCGGGAAGGATCGCCAGTCGCCAAAGATATATCCATTGGGTCGAAGAGTTCGACAAGTCGATTCCACAAGACTCGTAGAAAAACACCATGGGAAACGATGGCGACGTTGGCACCGGTCTCTGAATAGTCGAATAGTAAGGGTAACAAGTGCTCGTTCAGAAACGAGGTTGCTCGTTGTCTCATTGAGATCACGGTCTCTCTCTCTTTATATGTTGGATTCAGGCGATTGTCGGGCTGGGGATTCTGGGAGGGCGGGGCATTTCCCCGTTCAGGTCTAGTAGATGTAGACTGTATGCGTATACCTTCCAAGGAACCAAAGTCTCTTTCTCGCAAGTCCGATGTTAATATGGCTGCCAGTGGTCTGTCATGGTCTTGTGGCTGGCGAAGGCAAATGCCTGCAGCTGTGAGGTGGGCCCGGCTGAGATCCGATGCAAAGACTTGACCAAAGTGTATCGCGTTGGATGCGAAATGCTTCGCAAGAGATTCTATCTGGAGTGTGCCGTGGTTTGTGAGGGCCGAGTCAGTGGTGCCCGCCCTGTGGCCTGTCAGCAATTTGCAGCGAATACTGATCCTAAGATATTGGTTCTCACCATGCCTGGGCTACATTGTGCACTGTTTCTGCATGTCGGATGAGAAAAAGCTTCATGTTTTGGGAATCCTCCATCGCATCAAGACGGACTGGCTACTGTACATTTGATCAACTAATAGATTTCGCCACTTCTCACGTGACATATCCAAAAAAAATCTCACATCTGAATAGTTGACGATTTCTAATGACAGCCTTGTATGCACATGTGGATGACATCTGGAGTGAGCGAGATCATCGATCATACCCAGGTGGAAAACCCAATTGTTACTCTACTGGTCCCCATCTACGAAGTATATCCAGACCAATACCAAAGAAAGGAAGTGGGTGAGGGAACGATGAGATTGCATGGACATTGGAGCAGTTAGAACTGTGAACGAAATTGCCTTGAATGAAACACCGAACTAATTGCTCCGAAGATATCCCCCTAAAAAGTAACAAAAGTGGTATCCATGACCCATCAACATCACATCAGAAAATAAACGCCGAGTGGCCGAAGCCAGTCCCCTCATTGAATTGTGGTGGAACTTTTTAAGAATTTTGAGCGAACCGAAGAACTTGTCAGGAACAGTCGACATGTCGCTTATGCGGAAAGAGCACGGATCTTCTCCTGGACGCGGACCTTCTTCTGCTCGCGAGTGAGACGGACGACCTTGTACTTCTTGGACTCGGCCTTCCACTCCTCCTTGGTCTTCTTGGGCTCGGCATCCTCATCCTTCTTGAAGGGGTCCTCACGGATGGCGGCGTGAGCCTCAGTGTAGAGCTCCTCAAGGTCACCGGCATCAACCTCATCCTCGATGTACTTGGTGAACTGGGACTTGTAACGCTCCTCATCCTCATCGGCGAGGGTCTCCATGTACTCGGAGACGTGACCAGCCATGATGTAGTTGCGGAGGAGGTCAGCATCGAGCTCCTCGGTCTCGATGTCGTAACCGGGGAAACGGCGGTCGGAGTGGGGGATGAAGACACCACCGTCGGAGGCACCCTTCATGGCAGCGAAGACACGGTTACCGGTGGAGGTGCGGACAAGACCAACATCGAGGAAGGCCTTGAAGGGACGGCGCTCGCCATCCTCGGTCTCAACGGCCTCGACGAGAGAGTGCTCACCGGTGGCCTCATCGACACCCTTGAACTGCTCAGCGAGTCCGAGCTTGGTAAGAGCACGGCGGGCGAGGAGCAGACCAGTGGCGTAGGCAGCGGCGTAGTTGGTAAGACCCTGGTTGACACCGTAGGCCTTGAGCTCGTGGGCGTAAGCAGCGCACAGAACCTTGTCACCGGAGATCTCAGAGTAGACGATCTGAGTGATGATGTCGCGGTTGGTGAAGCGAACAACCATGCGGTACTTGGGGGCGTTGTACTTGTTCTTGGCCTGGGTGATCAGGCGCTTGCGAGCATAGTAGTCGGTCTTACCCTCGCGACGACGGCGGTACTTAGTCTGGAAGCGACTGGAGGGGTAAAAAAATCAGCACATAGTCAAACAATTGCGCATGCGACAAAAAAAAAACCTTTCGAATTCTTGTCGATGACAGGGGGAGTATAAAGACTTACCTGAAGTAGGCGTTGCTCTTGACTTGCTTGGAGAAAGGCTACAAGAAAAATCCGCGAGTCAGCAATTAGCGCTTCAGAATTTCGTCCGAAGCATCTTGCAAAGACCCTACTCCGGTCGAAACGGAGGGAAAGATAATATGGCAGAATGGTGTATTTCAACCATTTGCTGAGGCAAAAACACTCACCATGTTGACGGTTGCCGGTGCTGAAGCCTGTGGTCGACGGTTGGAGAGAAAAAAGAAAAAGTTGAAAGTGCGGCGATTCTTTGTGGGGGATTTCGCTTAGCGTGGGCTGCATCCCGCAACCCAAAAATGCGGTTGGCGACGACCGTCGACGACCACAACAAAAGTTCCGGCTTAAGGACCATTGCACTTTTGGCTTCAACCATTCAAACCAATAGAAAAAGATAGGGGAAAAAGGAAGCGGTCATCCAGGATATCTATTCTTTCTCTTAAATTGGTCTGGGATGCGCTCAGAAAATACTATAGATTTTGTTCTAAAAACACATTCCCCGCAGATAGTTGGGTCTCTATAGTCGAGCTTTATCACCCTCAAGCAATGCGAGTCCAGTAATCTTCTCCAATTCCTTCACTGCATCTTCAATCTTTCCCAGTGTGACTTTGACCGTGCGCATACCGGCGTTCTTTGCCGCCTTACAATTTTCGCCAATGTCGTCAAAGAAAACAATATCCGATGCCTGTACTGCAGGAAGCCCACGCTTCTGCGCCAACGCATTCATCTCTTGAGTGGCAACCTCGTAGATTCGGGGATCCGGTTTGCGAAGCCCTGTATGCGCAGACGAGATAAAAAAGTCGAACTGGGACCTCACTCCGGACACATCGTTATTGTATGGGTGGCCCTCGGGGAACTTGACGGTATTCGACAGAGCACCCATAAGGAATTTACCGGACTCGCGCAACTTTTGCAGTGCTGGAAACATGTATGGGTCAGGCGTGCGAGATATCCTCATCATCTCCCAGAACAGCCACTCGGCATCCACGGTCGGGAGCGGTGGGATTGTGGCGGGGCCATTTGCGCCTTTCTTCTTATGCAGGCCTTCGTGGAATTCCTTCCACAGAGTTGGATTGCGTAAATCCTGGTTGAAGCCGGCAAAGAAGTTGGCATCCATGGGGATATCGCCACGTTCTAACTGGTGCCAGCTGCCGTTAGGCTTGGTACGCGATATGCTGAAATTCACCCATCCCGGAGGGATATTTTGTGATAGTTCATAATCGAGAATTGCCTGGAATGGAGAAACGACCTGGAGAAATATTAGCGGTGATATTTCATGCGATGTGGTTCCAAGGTTGAGGCTAAGTTTCTGGACTTACACACACTCCACCGATGTCAAAAAGAAGACACACAGGGCGCTGGGTCACGGCCATCTTGAATATAAAGCCCGGATTGAACACAGTGTTATCCTACAGCTCAATATAGAAGAATCTATCAGCAGAGGGGTCGGCGAGGGTATACAGTGGTGATATTTGCGGAGAAGTAGTGACCCAATGCGGTCTTGGTCATTGCCGAGGCACAGACATGCGTTTTGGGGCCGAGGGCCTGTACATACTTCAACCACCACTGAATGTCTGAATGTTTGAGTCCCGCCTCGTTATATGTCAACAAGAACCTTGGTAACTTGAAAGTGGGTGTATTAATAGCTTCAAAGTTCCTTCAAAGTTCCTTCATTACTGTTGATTTAATTTATTAACGACTTCAGATGAGGATGAGATCGCTACCAGTACTTATTACTAATATCAGGAGAGGGGAGCAAAGAAGTCTAAAATTCAAAGTTGTACCACCCTAGTAAAATTGTGCTTTCAAAGCTCAAGGCCCAGAGCTAAAATTAACTACTTTAATCGGATAAATCTGCATATTCATAAACATAATCCTATATGGAAATGTCCAAATATTCATAATGGAGGTAAAATGGTAATTTGATGGCGGGGGTACACGTGATGTTATCGATAAGGGACGCGTTAAATGATATGATTATGGATGCAAGTCGCAATCTTACTCCAGATCTGATCTCCCGCGATGAAGCGATGGATTCCACGCGGACAATTTCTGAATTGAAATCTGCATTCATCTGGAGCCAGGTTCGCATTCTTTCTGAGAATCTCCAGCCACCAGAAGATTGGAGAAACTATGCAGTTGAGACTGAGGAGGATGTTCTACCGGATAGGGTGATTGAAGATGTATTGCATAAAGGTGATTTTCTGTCCATTATGCTACGATTCTTGGAATCACATCGTCACTTACTATTCTATTGATGTACTAATGGTTTTTTGTTGGATAGTGAACGCTGCAGCAAAACAACACAATCGCGTCGTTTACTCCTCCCAAGCGATCCATCATGTCGCGCACCAGATTGCCAGTCTCTACTGGGCCTCTGTTAGCCAGGACATAGAAAATCAAGCTGTGCTCAGAAAAGGTGTGGACAAGACAGTTGATCTTTCTAAACACATGTAACTTTCCTTCCCGCTTTACCAACATCTGTTCAAGAGTGTACTGACCGGACCTGAAGGAATATCCTCGGCCTGCCATTGGATCTGGAATCACAAGGTGCCAATGAGGAACAAAATGAGAGGTCAGTCTCCACATATACATCTGAGTTTCCACCGATTGAAGTTCCACCTGCCTAATTCCCGGCGTACAGATACCAGCGCATGCGGAAGCGACTAGTCAGTCTAGATCAGCAGCGCCAACAGAGACAGCGTCGAATCGATCAACTGCAGCATCTACGCTGCTTGCTGGAACCATTTCAGGAGCCTCAGGTGGACATCCAACCGAACCTGGTCACTCGCGATGGAGAATTGTCCCAGGAATTAGAGAGGATGCGTATGCTCATGGCGCGAGTGAGCGGCAGGATTTCCCAACAAAAACCCAAGCACATTCAAGAAGGTAGCGAGGAATATCTTCTCCCGGGGTCAGATCAACGGCTAGAAGCTTTAATGGACACGGAGGCATGACTTGAGGACATAAATTCTCCATGAAACGTTTTTCTCACTATCCCTTGCATTCCCAAGAACCCTGGTCCATGCGGTATTTTGATTTGCACCTGGCACTGCATTGTCTGTAAAATGCTATGTACTACTTGGATTGCCTGCCCTCATAGTAGATACTGGCTGTAGCTACTAGGGTGGCACAAATCCATTTCCTATAAGACTGAGCTAGTGTAATGAGATTCTAATTAAGCGGGGAAGGTGCTCAAGTGCTTTCACCATTACAACTGCAGGAGCTAAGTTGTCCATGGATTTGTAGCAGGTGCAAGTGAAGAGAGAAAGTTCGGCCGGTTCCTTGAAATCTTCTGCCCGTCATTGACTTCCATTCCACCCACCTCCGTTTCGTGATTTGCGTGGAAATGTCTCGCCAACACAGCTGCGAAGAATAAATCTTCAAATTATGACCAAAGCATCCACTGATACTTTTCCAAACGAAATTCGGAAAATTCTCACGCATCCGATGGGTACAATGAACAGAATGAAGAGCCTGGTCGGGTTGAACGGGCGGGCGACTAACCCGATTGGGAATGGTTCGGCCAACCACATCGATTACATCCACGACAGCCGCGCTGCACTCGAATTCGAGCAAGACGCGATTGAAGACCAACCCACCCAACTTAACGACTGCGCCGCCATCATCGAGGGCGACACTACTCCCTCCCCTTCCAAGGGACCTTCAGCACGTGGGCATCGCCGCCGTTCTACCCACGTCACTCGCCGTGACCTTGAGAAGTTTCAGAAGGAGGTCCTGGGCGTCGAAAACCACGCTTCCTTTTACGACGAGGAGAACGGCACCGCACAACCTATCGATCCCAACGATCCCGAGCTTGCAGAATTGAACCGTGCCTTTGACGCTTCCTTAATGTCGATGAATAGCGGTACAGGAATGGCCGGCAATCCGCCGGCTGGCATGTTCTCCGGTTACGTGGACAACTCTGCCGGAACCCCTAACATGGGCAACATCCCTCGACAATCCATCTCACCCGCACCCCTACACCCCGCAGCCCAAGTCAACGGAGGCGGCATGGCAGTGATGAATGGAAACGGTCCTATGAATGCGGGTCACCAGATGGATCTGCACCATCTCTACGATATGGTTCTGGAGCTGAGCGATGTTCTGAAGAATAACCGGGAGGTAACAAAGAACATCGTATCAAGTGCGGAAGAAATTATGGTATGTTGGGAATTTCAAATCTATGTGAAATTGGGGAGACCAAGCTAACAAGATTGAATAGAAGCATGGCTCCTCTGAAGGTGCTAGTGCAGTGATACAACAGCTTAATGGTGACATGGCAGGTACGTGTTGGAAAGATCATTCACTTCATCCCTTTGGTATTCGCCCGCTCTTAATCTCGATCAATGAACTAATGACGCGTCAAGCTGCCCGAATCGCCGAACTCGAACGCGCCCTCGTCAAAGAGAAACGACAGGTTGAAGATCTTAAGCGTGAACAAGTGGAAAACACCAAACTCATCGGGGACTACGAAGCCGGCGTTGGCACAATGGTGGAGCAGATTCGCAACTATTGTCAAAACAACAATATGCATTTCCTACACCAGAAGAGTCACTACAACAATCTCCTGCAGCTTGAGCGGGATTCCCATCTGGAGAGTCGACTGGATCGCGATTATTGGCATGCCCAAACGATGCGATGTGCAGAGATGATCCGGAAAGCCCACCAGTTACGATCGGAAGAGGACAAGTTACCCATACGGGTCATCGCGGGGCTCCAGAACGAGGTTCGCGCATACCGCCATGCACTTGGAATGGAGCCCGAGAAGCCCGAAGAGGAGTACGGGTGGGAGATCCTAAAGGATCTCTCTGTGGAATAAAAGGGAGCGGAATTGGGATGGATTCACGTCGTGATGACCTTTCTGTTTTGCTTTTTTTTTTCTCTCTACTTCTCCTTTTCTTTTGCATAGAGACTGGCGGGCGCATTTGTCTTTTTTTTGCTTTCTTAAGGTTATGTTCTTTCCCCTGGTTTATTTTTAGTGTCTTCAACCAAGGACATTCGGCGTTTTCTTATTACATAGGGGAGGGGCTGTATATGCCACATTGTTACCCAATACCCATTGTTTCTGCAAATCATTACATATTATTATTGTGTGGCGCTTCTTTAGAAATGATCGGTGTGTATTCAACTATGGGTCTACTCAGCCGTACCTAGGCCGGAATTGATGATGCGAAGACCAAATTTGTGGGTTCTTGGCGTCAAGGGGGTCATTTAGGTCCCTTGGGGACAATTGCCCTCTAACAATTGGCTCTGGTGCCCCATTGCAGTCCCGATCTTCGGCATTTCCCCACCTTTTCGCCTCTTTATCCACTTTATTTGGGACAAAGTTGTATTGATAACAGTGTTCGCCGGTCACGGAGGCCCTAGGTTGTATGCACCTTAGTATCCTCAACAAAGACTAGTAAATTTTAGTTTTTTAGGCTTTTCATTTTTTTGCAAATTTTCCAGCTTTTCATCTGGTATGTTACCTCACGTGCTATCGATTGCAAAAGTGGATACATGTTGTTTCTACTTGTAGTTTACTGTAGTTCACTGCTGAAGTGGACCACTACGGGGGAAAACCCGATTATGTCACCTTAGATCGTTGCTTCACCACATCCGGTCGCTTCCAATAACTTCATTTTCTTCTCTTCCCGTCGCTTACTTTCTCATTACTTTCTCACCTATCATTTCCCACCATGTTGTCCCTCAATCAGCGCATATTGGTGAACTCCGTGCCCCGTTACCTGTAGTGGCATACACATACGTGACATACCTAACACCAACTCGCCATCCCGGCTCCTCCACCTCGGCTATATACCTGCCGGATTCCTCTACCGCTTCGACCTGATCGTCCGTGACAGGGTTCATATTGGACATTGTTGTGGCATTGTCAGTCGTGAAAGGAACTTGAAAGTGGGGGGATCAGCCAACTATGCGTCATTCGAAATAAGGCATACCCCCCATCATTCGACCATAATCCCGCGCCACACTTTTTGGCCACTCTCGAGACGCAGGGTCCCAACCCCCAGGAACCTTCAACACTGGAAGTGATTTTTTTTGAGAACTATAAAAAAAGACAAATATGGACGGTGTTCAAAGTGTGGATGTGAGCTGGCTTCATCATTCGCAGAAAGGTGAGTTCCACTTTAGTAATGCGGCTGATCCGGGGTCACCCAATCTGGGGCAAAAAAGAAAAGAATGAGAGAAGAAAGAGGAGGAGCCGGAAGACCAACATGTTTTCGAGCGTGAGGCTAACTTGGTGAGCTTTGTTTACAGATCATCTTTCACGCACGAAATCCGTATCTTCAGGGGTCAGCGACAAATCGAGCGCCGAGAAGGACTCCGTAACGAACGCATCAAAACCTCACCGGCGATCCCGATCGAATAGTAGCCCGGCTCGTCCACCCTCATCAAGCGGCACAACTCCAAAACGCGAGTCGCCAGATCAAGTGATCCAGGAAGGAAAGTCCGCACCGGAACCAGAAATTGCTGTTGAGCAAAGACCATCCACTACCTCCCCGGCGACACAGAAAACAGCGCCCAAGGCAGTTACTGGGCGCAGGAATTCATGGATATCCAGTTTGAGCTCCAAGTTCTCCTCCGGATCTACACCACCCTCGCAGTCTAGTCTGAAGGGAAGCCCGGCGAGCCCCAAAGCCACTGGACCTCTTGATAACCATAATCCATTCGGTGCCGCTTTCTCTCCGAAAGATAAAGAAGAAGAAAAGAAGGATGATCCAAACCCGTTCACCTCCTCGTCGCCCAAGGGTCCCTCTTTCATCCATAGTGCACTCCGCAAGTTTTCGTCCAACTCAGGTGGATTGCCTAAGCTTCCGCCAAATGCCGCAACATGTCCTCGTCGAGTGATGAACCTTGACCAGGGCCGTGACCGGTGTAAGATTGCGGATCTCAACCAAGCTAAGCTAAACAGAGTCGCATTCTGCGTGGACGTTGAAATTGCCGGCGTGTCACATCGGGATTCGGACGAAGACGCTCCTCCGACAAATCAACTGCGACAGCCTTTGCCAGAGTCGAATCGACAAAAGGCAAAGAAAGCCGAAGTCAATCAGGATACCAAGGCAGAGGATAAGGAAAAAGGCAAAGAGGAGGCCGAGGCCCTGAAGCACCCGCAAACTGCGGTGACTGATAAAGAGGCACCAACAGCTCCAGCGGCTGCCTCTTCTTCGTCGCCCACTCAAACCAATGTCCCCTCGGAATCTCAAATATCCGCTACTGAACCCGTCGTTCCTACACCTACCGCCGACGGTGAACCAAATGGCGAAAAGAAAGATCCGACTCGCAAGCAAGAAAAGAAAAAACGGTCTGAAGAGGAACGAAAGGAGCGCAAAGAGCGTAAACGCAGACAAGCTGTAGCGAATGGTTCAATCCCACTCCAAATTGATGCAGAACATGACGACGAGGAGGATTGTCGTTCGTCAAAGTCTAGTGCCCTACGTTCTAAAACACAGAGCCATCCTACCACAGACCCCGCGCGCATCTATCGCCGTTGCTGTCAGCTGAGAGAGACTCCTGTTCTCAAGCGGGTGATTGATGAAATATCATCCCCGTCATCAACTCTAGCAGAATCACCGGGCACGGTTGCCGCTTTGGATCTCAGTAACTTCCCAATGACACCTCAGGATATTGTGACTCTGAGTGATTGGCTTGCCGTGGTGCCTGTTCGTAAACTTCTACTACAAAACTGTGCATTGAACGACGCTTCCGTACGGTCGATCCTTGCTGCATTACTCTCGACAAAGACGGTGGAGCAGATGCGCTATCGGCGAAAGCGAAATCGCAGATGTGAATCCCCCACTATCAAGTATGAACGGTGGGGTGTTGTGGAGAAGCTATCCCTCAAAGACAACCCCAAAATTGGACGGGAAGGATGGCGCCACATTGGCCTCTTCGTTCACCTTTCTAAGTCCCTGAGGGCGATTGATCTGTCCGGTATTCCTTTCCCCAAGCCACGGAACCCAAGTGACAATTCTACTCAGAGCACGGTCCCAGATGTATGCGATGTATTTGCGTGTGCTCTAGCGGAAAGGTTTCGCGGTGATCACCTCGAGGAATTGCTCATGAGCGAATGCAAACTTTCGGTTGAGCAGGTCAAGCGAATTTGCGAGGCATCCAGCAAGTTGGGATTACGAAGGCTAGGCATTGCAAATAACGATTTGACAAGAGAAGGTCTGGAACATGTGGTCGAGTACCTCAAAGCTGGGCAATGTGAAGGATTGGATTTGGGAGGAAACGATATCAAACACGACCTTGATCTTTTCACAGGTGCTATTGAACCCGAAATGCCCCTATATGCTCTCAGCTTGGCAGATTGCTCTTTGGATCCTTCCGTGATCTGTCCGTTGTTGCAAGCTCTAACCCAAATTCACAATCTTCGCTTCATCGATTTCTCTCATAACCCTGGTCTGTTTTCGACACAGCCCAGTGCACTTGGAGCATTCCGACGATTCTTGCCCAAGATGCCTTCTCTCAAGCGCATTCATCTTGCTGATGTTAATCTCTCTTCTGATCACGCCATCGGCCTTGCTGAAGTGCTAGCGGAGTGCCCTAGTCTTTGCCATTTGAATATACTGGAAAACCCGCACATTGCATCATTGGCCTCTGCCACGGACCCTGCTGTTCAGGAGGAGGCTTGTGCCCTCTATACTTCTATCATGACCGCTGTGCGCGTTTCTGGTTCAATCATCGCGGTGGATATTGAGGTTCCCACTGCTGAAAACAATGAAGTTGTGAAGGCACTGGCATCCCAGATCGTTGCCTACTCCCTTCGAAATCTGGAAGGTACAGCTATTGGAGAGGATCTGTCGGATGCTCTCGTGTCGCACGACGTTCCAATCCCAGAGATCCTACAGCACATTGTCGGGCACTCCACTATCATGGACGAGCCATGCTATGAAGAAGATGAGGCAGGCCCAGACGAGGATTATGTCATTGGCGGTACAGGTGTGGTCAAGGCACTAGGTGTCTGTCTCGGAAACCTTGATCAACATGGCAGTGATTTGCCAGGTGATTCAGCCCCTGGCAGTGGCACTACAACCCCTCGTCGTCGCAAGTCTAGAGTTGTTACTAAGAGGCCTCGGGACATGTCGAAAAATCTGTTGGAGTCCGCGCGCAATATTCGAGCTCGGATCCAGTCAGCTCTTATCCGCGAAGACCGAGCTGGTAACGACGCCAACTACAGTAAGCTTCCGACAATTTCACCATTTATTTCTAATCCAGCTACTAATTCCATTATAGGACGTCTCCAATTTCTGGACATTACATTGCATGGAATGATCCAGCGCTTTGAAGATGAGTATCCTGAAACTCGTCTACCTTCTCCACCTATTCCCATGTCTACTATTCCAGACACCGCATCGCAGCATTCCGGTGAGGATGGAATTAGTTCAAGTGCTATCATTGGTAACCTAAGCAGCAGCTTTGTAGACAATGAAACTGCCGTCGACGATGAAGAAGTCGATCAGGACGGTTTCAAACTTTCCCGGTCTAGCTCGATGACCTCGTTGCATGCTCGTGCCATGACATCAGAAGAAGGTCATGTCCATCGTCTAGGTCAAAACCTCCGCCGTGACTTCTTAAAGACACCCGATGGGCAAGGCGAGGACGACTCACATCTTGATGCTCTACGAGAGAAACTGGAGCGCCTACACGAAGAGCAGGCTCAGTCACCATTTGACACTGGAGAAGCCTTCGAGAAACTTGGGAACACTGTTGATGAGCTCTGGGCAGCCCAGCGTCAAGACGCTGAAGGTTTCGAGAGATTTAAACAATCTCAAATTGCTGCCCAGTTCAATAGTGGTCTACGCCGGGAATCATCTTCCTCTGAAAGCAAGTCACCTCCATCGTGAGGTGCTTGCTACAACTTTTATGTTCTACCCACATCCATCCGTACGTCCAGCTTTCGGTGCGCGCTTTACTTTGCTATTCTATTTTCAAGCGCATTCTTTGTACATAGTAGTCCTACTGTTTGTCATTTTCGTTTTGCGATTCCAGTCATACCCAATTTTTGTACTGTTTTTGCTATATCTGTCGCTTTCCACGTTCTCTTTCGATATGATGATCAGTGGTCTTGGGATTTGCATGTAACCTATGAGTTCCAATTGCAGGGCTGTGTGATGATCCACAGAGCGATGGACAATTTTCAATCAGAAATTCATGTTCGAGAATGAGATTTCCCACGGTTCTAGATTCTAACACTTTCCAAGTATCTTGTCCTTCCAGGTGCGAAGAATAAAATAATGCAATATAGAGTATCTATATCGTATCATACTTGCATCTGCTGCCAGTCGCCATCCCAAGCTTCGTCATCTAGGGGTTCAGGCAAAACGCGCTCTGGCCTAAAGATTTCTTCCACAAAGGCAAAATCTAATTTCATGAACTCCGCAGGCATCATATCTGCAAGATCCATTCTTATTAGTACGGGCCCAATATTCGTAGGATCTGAACAGCTCACCAGGACCATATACGTGACCAGTCAAATTCGGTTTCGGATGTCCAGATTCACCTTGATCCCCAAGAACATAATGCAGAGCAGACGCTGCCTTCCGAGCCTCTTGGGAGCTGTGGCTTTCCCGCAACCAGATAACCTGTGATAACCTCAACAACTGCTTGATCCTACCAGTCCAAGCATAATCATCAACTTCAACACCCGAGCTCTCCTCCTGTTCCATCACAGGCTGGCTCTGCAGATAGAAACAAAGCAAGCTAGTCGCCAGCAAAAAATCATGAATAAACGACGCAGTCACCCTCCACCTAGTTTGATATAACCGCCCATCCACCCTCGTCTCTTCATCAACCAAATGCTGCAACTCCAAAATCTTCATAGCAGCTTCCACACAAGTAGACCTAGAATACGGATACTTCCGCTCCTTCTCGCGCGCCTGTGACGCAACAAAAAATCTCTTATGCAATACAATCCTCAGCCGGTGAACACACACCTCCAGCCAAATCCTCTTAATAAGCACCTGCGCCGGAACAGAAAGCGAAGACTCAAGCCCATCCCACTTCATACTAGCCGGCAGCGCAGCCCGATACTCCGCAACCAGCCCATCCAGTTCCAATACACGCGCGTAAGAGCACATGCCCGGCTCCGTGGCTACGTCGGCAATCTGCGCGCCGACGACAATCAGCCTGGTCTTCGCGAGCGTGTACAGCGTCGGCGTGATTTCTGATTCAGGCCTGCTGGGCGGTAGTATGGGGGTGTTTTCGTCGAAATCGGAATCGAGCAGGTTCCGAGGCTCGGCGACGTCTGTCTGCGTGGACTTTATTATCCGGGCTAGTCCCATCTGCATGGAGATGTTGAAGTCGATCTGGACTATTACGGCCCAGGTTCGGCGGCGCATTTCGGCGGCGAAGGGGGTTATGTTTGGGAAGTGTTTTGCGTCGCGGTGGTAGCCCATTTGCGTTGCTATTGTTACTATTGTGCTTGCTAGGATGCGGAGGCCCGGTGCGGTGTCTTTTGAGGGGAAGACTTCGGTCATGAGGTATAGGGTTAGGGTTTCGAGGACGTGGGGTCCGCCTTCTGTGTAGTGGCCTAATAGTAGGCATTGGGTGATCTGTTCTCGGAAGATCTTGATTTGGTCTGGGGCTGTTGTTGTTGTGGACTTGTCGAGGGAGAGGTTCTGGACTTGGGTTGAGAGGCACATCATGCTGAGCAGCAAGCCGATCCATACGATTGGGGCATCGTGTGGGGATTTCCAGAATTCTTCGTACTGTTTGATGTTAGCCCCGAGCCGGACTATGGGGTATGGATGGGTATACCTCTCTGAGGAATTTGCCAGTGTGAGGAACGCCTGGAATCACGATCAGTTTATGTTGATAAGATCGGTTATGTACTACTCGAGTAGGGCCTACCCGATGACAAGTCCAATTCATTAAAATAGCGGGAAATCAACCTATCGACGACAGGTCGTGGTGGTATCGACTCAAGAATCGAATCGACGCTTATATGTGTACACCCACCACTATAAAACAGTTGCGGACTGGGCAAGGAGCTTGAATTATGATCATAGTATGTGACCATCTCATGCAGCTCATTATCCTGTTCAATATGATCCCTCAGTTCTGCAATATCATCAAGCACTGCTGCCCAATGCGAACTACTAATATAGCTGACGCCCGAATGCCGGATTCTCACACTCCCATAATCAGACGGGGACGGTGCAACTTCTGGTATCTTGTCTTCGCGAGGAATCTGAGAGGTGATTCCGGATGGTGTGTCTGGGGGATCATCTGCATTGCTTGTCGTTGGGGTAGATGCAAGGCCTGTACTTGAACCAGTCTGCTGCATCAATCCCATGACGAGGCCTTCTAGGTGATTGATTCGGTCTTGGACATGAGCTGCTGCCTTGGTTCCCCGGGGCCCTGTTGACTGGGGAATGTATACACAAGATGAGCTCATCCCTCTGCTTGAGCAGTTACTGCACGGATGGAGACGATCACAGCGGACTCTAAAAGGTATAATTAGCCAATAGAACATTTGAGTAGTATCTTTCAAAGAAACATGGCTCCAAGTCTTGAATATTCGGTTGAAAAACAAGGCTGCGATAATTCTGCTTTAATCAGTCACTTTCGGACTTGTGAAAAATCACTTACTTCCGTCTCCTGCAGGGTTTGCAGCTAAGTTGAGGCTTGTCTCGACGTCTGGCAACGGGCGGCTGTGAGGGCACTGAGGGGTCTGGAGAGGTCAACAACGGATTCTCGGTCAGCGACTGCTGCGGTATAGGAGTATGATCTGAATCATCTGTCATTGGCATGATGGTCAGCAAGTTTTGAAGGGAAAAAATGAATTAGAAAGATTCTTTATTGTCAGGCCTTAAATATTGAGAATGGGGGGTTGGCCCCCAAAATAACATTCAGAGGATCGGACATCCGCGGAGGGTGAAGGCCCTGAAGGGTGGGATAAGTTAAACCTCACACTTCCCCCCCCCCCCGCAAAAAATGGCAAAACTCGCCCTCTTTGATTACAATTGTTTTAACAACTTTGTATGTAAAGATAATTTCTAAATCACTTATAATCTCAATAGGTGGTTTAAAATTGGTCTGTAAGATTGAAAATTTAATTAAATGCTTCCGTTAGGGTATTTTTCGGAATTTTTACTATAGGGATGCGGCCTATTTGCTACCAATTTTTAACCAATTTTCTCATCCTCAACTTTCAAGTCGTGCAACTTTGCCAGGGAAAATCATACCAGAGTTTCTGACTGTAGGAAGTACTTATTTACTAGTTGTTCATAACTTAGCAATAATCAGAAAAAAAAGTTCATATAGAAATTCATAGAGATGTTGGAGGTTTTTGCCATTGATTTTTGCGGGAAAAAAAAGTGTGCCAACACAGCACTGTGCTTGTCACCCTTTGAACATTTGAATATATAGTAGTATGCACTATGGAATGATTTGTGAAGATACTGCCTCAAGTAAAAAAAAAAAAAAAAAAAAACGTTCAATGTTTGAGGGCCTTCAAATGTTGACAATTTTCTAATTCTGTAGAGTCCAGATATCGACAGAAATATACATGTACTATGTTGCTAGCACCCAAGCTTGCTTTTCCAAACATTGAGCATTCAATGAAGTAAGATGCAACCGACATCTGGAGTTGAGAACCCTTCAAATTGATGTTAGTGCACATGATTCTAGTGGTCAACTTATATCACACCTGGACTAGATCTTCGAAGTCCACATCCAGATGTCTGAATCTGACTCAATGTTTACTTAGTACATACTACATGGTATAACCGAGGCTCTCAGAGTTTGATTCTTGGACCATCCGGGTGATCTTCATTGTTTAAGCTCCCATTTGGTATGGTCTCCTTTTTGGCTTGTTTGTTTTTGAAATATCCTGTTCCTTCTCGGTCATCTTCTCCTTTTCAAGCTTCTCAAATTGTGTCCCTTCCGAATCCGCATGGGCCTCACTGCTGACATGAAGACATGATGTATCCGTCAAGGGTCTGTCCTCAATTCCTCCTGGCTAGAGCCTAGACCCAACTCCACAAGAACTTGTCGGTCATGACTGGAAGACTAGACGTTGTAAACCATGAAGCAGTCGAAAAGGAAATGATGGCTCTCCCAGAGATGATCCCACATGGTCCGATCGTTGAAGCTGTTGCCTCCGGAGCAGTAGTAACAGAACCAGATGTGGTTAGGCGCCTCCAGGTTCCCAAGTCGCTGGATGAATTCCACATGGTACAGACAGATGTGATCAAGGATCTCGGCAGCATGCGTAAACACAAAGCCCTGGTGTGCCGGGCACATAGCGATTATCATTTTGCTGATTGGGAAGTCAATAAATAGTTGTTTCTTTCTGGTAACCCGAAGATAACTAACTTGACTTGTGAAAGACCAACACCTGATTGATCAGGTGACACCTTAGGCTGTATGTCTGCGCCCAAAATCTGCTTATTATAAGAATTTGTGATAACATGATAGTATGAAGGGGGGGGGGGGGGGGTTTACTGTTCAGGGGGACACGTGGGTGTCTCAATACTGAGTGGACATGAGGGAAAGCGAGAAAAGGATTAAAAGTAAACGAGATAAGCGAGACAGAAAAAGGCAAGGTGAGCCAACGTTGCGTTTGGATTCCCCCTCAAATGTCAAACATTGACCTAAAGCGCGCGGCTGGATGTGATATCTAGTAACTCCGTTTGCCAGCAGACCTACTAGCAGGTATTAGCCAATGTTTATCAGATAAAAAGGCGGCTCTCTTTACCATTCTGATAGATTGCCACTCAATCACTCCCATCGGCCATACCCTCAACCTTCCAATACATGAGATTTTTATGATCAGATGTCAGGTGATCCCATATTTCCTTGCTTGTATAGCAATACATGCCAGGACATATTTCACAATGCC